TCAGTACATATTAAACAATGAAGTTATTAGGTATGAACACAAATATAAGTATTTGGGTGTCACGCTTTCTGAGGATGGGGGATGGTCTGAGCACATTGGCAATGTTGTAAGTAGAGCGGGAAAAGCCCTAGGCTTTTACAAAGAAATCTTAACTGTAACCAAGGAGGTTAAACAGGCCGCATATTATGCCTATGTGAGACCAATACTAGAATACGCCTGTCCTGTGTGGGATCCGTTTAACAAAATACATATTCATGAATTAGAGCGCATTCAGTCGATGGCAGCAAGATTTGTTCTGGGAAAATATGGCCGAACTGAAAGCTCCCGTTGTATGAAAAGAGAACTTAATTGGCAATACTTACAAGATCGAAGACGTAATCTAAGATTAAAACTATTTATTCGATATATAACAATAAACGGGCATTAATGCTTCAGATTATTTAAAAAAAGCGTATTATCAATCCTCCCGTCATGATCACAAATTTAAAGTACGGCCATACAACCCCAGAACGGATCTTTTTAAGCATTCTTTTTTTCCGCAATCCATTGTTGAATGGAACACGTTACCAGCCGATGTAGTTGGCCGCAAGACTGCGGATTCATTTTATGAGGCTCTGTGCCCCCCGCAATAATGCCTAAGTGGCGCTGCGGGTTTTGTTTCAAATAAAAAAAAAATAAATAAAAAAAAAAAAGAAGAATCACCGCTATATCACAATCGGCCTCAGCACTATCTCTTTGAATAAAAAAATGTATAAGTATCACAACCACAATCAGTCTCAGTACTATCTCAACTTTAATCACAATAATCACCTCCGAAAGCTTCGCCCCATAATTATCTTCAAGCCGCTTGAAATGCAGTGATTTTTATCTGGCCGCTGAGCGTTGAGTCATGCACTCAGGAGTAACAAAGTTTCCGTCCATCCATTCATCTGACCACCACCACTAAACTGTATCTGATGCCCCCGCGTGAAGTGAATGATACAATAGGCAGGTAGTAATTTTTTTTGTAAAGAGTTGCTTGTAAAGAAAAGCTGTCTTGTCCACAAGACTTGTGCATGGCCATGTTCACCTGCGCGTCTTAGCTGTTATAAAAGATACTCTCGCGAAAAACACTCGATGCAGAGATGCCTCTGTTTAACTTAACTTGTGCAAAAGACAATGTTCTTGTTACGAACAAAGCAGTGGACTAATCGAAGCTTGACTTTCTGGAGCCAGCCGATGTGGTAAGCGTTTGTCTCACTGCAGGCTGCCGTGGCTAAGTAACATCGGAATTTATGGCTTTCTAGAGAAGTATCAGATGTCTGTGATTTTCACTCGGTATTTAGTTCGCCTAACAACACAGCTTCAGTTTTCCCACTTGTCTGTGTCGCCCTAAAATGAAGATGTCTGTTCAACATCGATAATTCCTAGGCTTTAATGTGCCAAACGAGATATCATTTGGAGGTACGCTGAAGTGTGCGTATCAAGATTGTGACCGCTTAAGGTTCTCCAGTCATATACCTTGGTTCACGGGTGTTCTTTCTATATTTCAACCCCATAATTGTGCAGCTTTCATGGTCTTCAATGCATCCCGCGCCCTCAAGAATAGCAGTGTGACATTACACCTGTTATGCTACCACAGTGGTTTGCCTGATCAACGTCCCCCTGCATAGATACCGCGGACAGGGCGTAGAAACGATGGCAAAAAAAATTGATGCAGCTACAATCTACTTTGCTTTTGTTTTTGTTTTGTTTTACTGCAGATGTTGGCAGCGCGGTATTGTCGTAGCACGGACCTATCAATGGGGGCATGTCAGCCAGCACAAGAATTAGCGCAAAACCTAGCACGCAGCCAGAAAATGGGGATGAGGAAGTCGTCATCGTAGCACAACTCTCCATTCGATTCCACATGTAGAGACGCCGTCCGCATTGCAGGGCTTCTTTCGTTTTTTAGTGCTTTCTATGTAAGAGTAGCCATTGGACCAAGCTATTTTTCTAAACCATAATGCAGTATTACTGGCGCAATGCCTTTTCGAGCTGTTGCTTCTAAAATGAAGCACGGCAGCGGCACACGCACGTGCTCTCCGAGTGGTACACTGCGGTCGGTTGTCTGGGCGCAAGCAGCTGAGTTGTGTCGCGACTCTCCACCAGGTGCTCTTTTCCGGCGCGCCACCTATCGAGCGCTAGTCCGCCATAAGAGATAAGTCACCTCACGACTGGTTGATACGGCGGCGCGACGTTCGCTCCAAGACAGGCATCGCGTTCTCTCGAACATTCCTCACAGGTCATCCCAACACTAAACAGCTATTTGCGACAAGCCTGTTCCGTAGTCAACGTCATTGCGTGCGTACGCTGAGTTTGGGCTACAAAAAAAGAAACGGTGAGGTTTCACTCTCTTTAACCTGTAGTTACCACGAGCGAAAGATACTTTTGAATTGGTTTTACTACGATTATGCGCACAGTTTTGCATTAAATTGTAAGCCTTATTCTTGTTTTGTTCGCTTTGTTGAATAAACACAGCGGCCAGTCAGCTGCTGCATATGGTTATCTTCGCTCCGGTCTTTCAACAGGCAACTTTGCCTCTGATATTTCGCGGCCTGCTGTCTTGCTATATCTATTGGAAAAGTGGATTCAACCTGCCGCTTGCGCTGAGCGCACGCAGACACGGCCCAGCGAGGTTCCATTCATGACGAAACTGAGTGACAAAGCGGTGCCGAATCAGCCACTAAACCTTCCCATGGTCATGTGGTATAACATCGTTGAGGCTCGGAACAAGCCAGGTTGCGACGATTTTCCGCAGCGGATACCGTGACGTGACGTCATGTCTACCACACTTGCGCTCCAGCGGGTCAAGGTCATTGCGACGCGATGAGTGACCTTGGGAGACTCGTCGTAAGAGAGCTTTTGCTCTAAAATAAAGGTAAATGAACAAAGGCCGCGTTCAAGCAAGACAGGCCACCGGAACGTTCCGGGATTTCTTTTGGGCGAAACGTTGGTCACATGACCAGAATGGTATCCTCTTTTATTCAAAATATTCACACAGCTCTTCGACTCCTGTAAAAAAGATGGTCGTATCTCGTCGTCTTATGCCCCAGACGATTTTACAGTAGCATGCTACTCACGATTGTCACAAGGAAAAAAAAAGTAAACGCAATATCAAGCACAAAAGAAAAAAACAACAGAAAGAATAATTGCGGTCTTTGCAAATGCGTCTTGTTTCACAAGCACGCATGGTAGCCATGCAACGAGGTATATCGGGTAATGTCTTTCCAAGTCACGACACTTTCACGCTCTTGCGTTATATTATCAGTTTCAATGTCCTCCCCATCCACTTTCTACATAAGTAACAAAAGAAGCACTGGCTCGACGCTTGTGTCGTCTGTTCTGAAGAAGGCACTTTGCTGTGATGTCGTGACGGCACTGCGATAGTCTTGCTTGATGCACTTTGTGGTTACGCCAATTTCGATGTGACAGTCTTTCTTGAAAGCTGATACATCCGCACTTATACAAACCACAGTACAAATATCAGTGTCATCACACTCTTAGTATCTGCTAACATCATTCACTCGTATGTGGGTTCGTCTTGAAAGGTTATCTCGCTTATCTTTAGATGTGGTCACTTTGCCATTATAGGTTGAGTTATCGCTATACAAAGTTCTCGCCTTATATAGAGTATAAAAATGGGTGAGCCTCTCATTGCCGTGTCCTGTGTCGCGTATATATATATAGGCTATAGCGAACTGCAGCACGCAGAATTGTTTGTATTTTTCTCGCCAAACTTTAGGCACATTCCTACACACTTATTGGAAGCAAACCACATTTCTCCATCTCTATCCCTTGTTCACGCTCACACTCAATTCCATATAACTGTCACAAATAATTTTCGCTAAAGACACCGCTTCAGTGTCAATACATGAGGTTTTCATATTTTTTTCATCTGTTAATCCAGGAGCGTATATGGATTGTCATCACGAAGTCGGAAAATCCCTACTGCTAGTACTTCTACACTTATCTCCGTTAAAGACGCTGAACTTGGCTATGGATGTTTACGCCAACCACATTCATGCATTTCGCGCTTATGACGAGCAGTTGTTTTATTCATATCTACACTTAGCACAAACCTTTAGAACGACTATAGAAAAGCAGCAACCTTGGCAAGTCATAAGTATGCCACCTGTAATTTCTAACTCTAGAAATTAGATTCATTTTCACTTGTTTTATTTCAGTAAAACTCTTGAACTCCTTTTATATGTGTATTATTTACTTTTCTTCGGACTCTGTTGGTACTATTGCTCGTTATCTACCTTTCTTGTGCAATATATTAATGCTTTTATATTTACACTCCAGCATGGGACCTGTGGCCTGCAGTATTTCTGCAAATAAATGAAATAAATAAAATAATACTCCTGTCGAAGCGTTGTAAGGAAGTAGTCGCTGCGAGAAGCTCAGCCAAACTTAAAAATGGCTACTTTTTTCACAGTCGACCTCATACGTATTGAACCACGTTGTGTCATCTGTTCTGAGCATGCTCTAATAAAGGTGTATTCCCCATATAAATTCCCAAACGACTGTTTTATCAAATAATCAAAGAAAGCCTCAAATAACAAACTTCTTCGCCCTGGAAAGTTATAGAGTGACCAATGACGTAAAGTCCGCCATATTTTCTGGACGCAGTGTCTCTTCATGTATAGTCCACTCCGTCTGTATCCGTAGCACGTCGTCAGGTATAGTGGTGTGCATACGCCGACAATGTGGTGGTGGCGATGATGTTACCACAAACGGGGTTCGCCTGGTAAACATGGCGGGCGATTTCTTCACCTGAGCGACTCTTTTTATGCAGTATGTCTCACCGTAAATCACTCGAAGCGGGCTCTCGCAGAGAGCCCGCTTCGTTCATGCCTTCGTTCATGCCTTTGCCTTGCGAATTACCCGCACACCTTCCCGGAACACCCCATCTTCCCAGCATCCTTGGGAAAACCTTTTTTCTTCATAATGTCATTTAGTATTTCTATTTCGAAGCAGAAGAGCTGCTCCAGTGTACCACCATCACGTAACGAAGACACTACATCATCACCGGTCTTCATCTCTGTCCGATATTATTCCCAGCCTACGGCCAACGCACTTGACAGAGCGTGTCACTTCTTCCTGCACCAGGTTGAAGGACATGGCGAGCAGCGCCATGCCGAACAACAAGTAGACGGCGCACACGGCCAGCGTCACAGTCTGGTCGTCCGAGAGAGCCGTGCCGGGCACCAAATCGCCGAAGCCGATGGTGGTGAGCGTGACGAAGCAGAAGTAGGCGCTGTCCAGGTATCCCCAGCCTTCCCACTGAGTAGAAGAGCCAGGCGCCGCCGCAGATGTAGCCCACCACGATGGCGCAGCACAGCCAGATAGGCACCGAACCCACGACCTCGTCCTCGTCTTCGTCGCCGACGTCTTCGTCGTCGTCTTCGAGCGCGTTCACCGACTCGTCGTCTGCTAGCTCCCCGCCCTCGTCGCGCCAGTGGCGCCGTCTGCAGTTGTTCGAGAGTTAGGAAAGAAAATTGCACATTAGGCGGTTTAAAGATGCACCAATTTATGTCGAATCTACTGGTACACTAGGTGGTTTTTTCAGAGTGTTCTGGTCACTCTGAAAAATTCATGTAAAAGAGCATCTAAACAACACTACTAATAAGTTGGCCAAATAATGGTCAGAGATTACAATGACTTGCATAAGTACTTTTTCTAGTTCATATCGTTAAAGATGTCAGATTCTCCACTTTTATACATGGTCAGGGCACTCTCAAAATACCACCAAGTGTGCCTATAGGCTTTCATTCTTCCTAAGATATCGATCTTTCGGAATAGCAACAGGTACACGCATACGAATATACGACTGCAGATAATTTTTTTCTTAGTTGCAACTGCTGCCTGTGCTAAGCAATGGTTGCTCGTGCCATGCAGTCAGTCACACTAGCCAACAGGAGCCAGTACGCTTAAGTGTGTGTGTGTGTGTGTGTGTGTGTGTGTGTGTGTGTGTGTGTGTGTGTGGTGTGTGTGTGTGTGTGTGTGTGTGTGTGTGTGTGTGTGTGTGTGTGTGTGTGTGTGTGTGTGTGTGTGTGTGTGTGTGTGTGTGTGTGTGTGTGTGTGTGTGTGTGTGTTCACGTGCGTGCGTGCGTGCGTGCGTACCCTGTCCTGGCGGGCGGCGTCCTGTAGTCGTGGTGGGTCGCGGCTGTGCCACCGGCATCCTCCGTCAGGGCGTACTTGTTGCTGATAACGGGCACTCGGGCCGCCTCGAGATCGGCCTGTCTCCTGCCCATCGCCGATCCCGGAGGCTGGCGTGATGATGGCGGGTAACTGCCTCTGCCCCGCGTCGGTCGACACGTGGACAGCTCTTTGTAGCTAGGGGGCGCTGCGATCGACGAGCCTGCATGGCGTTTCGTACACTCGTGCACAGTAACGCTCAAGAAAACTCAGCAAATACAAATTCTATGCGATTTTTTTGATTGAAGGTTGAAGCACTTCAAGGACGCCGTTTGTGCGGGGTCCATTTGCACGGCCTATTATATGGGCCAATACTCGGATAGCATACGGTGTATTTGAAACAGATGTGACGCACACAAAAAAAAGGGTTTAATAATTGACTAATATCAATATAAATTGTGACGATAAGAAACAGCTACAAGCACAAACTCTATATACCAGTCAGTGACTTCAACGTAGACGTTATGGACCTTAGGAGCTTTGTCGTCGACTGTTTATGTCACTTTATGTCACTTTATTTCACTCAATTGGTAAATTGAGCGGCACAAAGTGACATAAACAGGCATACCGGGCAACGCTCTAGTAATATACGCCTCACACAGAAAGACGTTTACCAATAGACCAATTTTAATCACAATTGCGTCAGAATAATGTACACACCTACGAGCACTAAGTTTTTATACTAGTGGGCGACTTCAGCTTAGACGTTATTGACCTTACCTATAGCTTTACCCACTCGTCATGATTCACTTTATGAAGATGCGTGTTTTTTTCTTTGCACACGCCAGTATCTTAGCGTGTTGTTGTTATATTGTTGATGTAAAAGGCGTGAAGGAGATGACGGACGACAGAATAAATTGCAATTGCTGAATGCGACTGCGCAGCAATGAAACGTGAAAACGCCGTCTGCATAACTAAAACCTATGTTTTCTCTTGCAATAAAGCTCATTGTAAGGGGTGCGCCGTGTGTGTGTGTGTTTATGTTCTCCATATTGAAAGCAGCGCAAATTACAGGACAAGACGTCGACACTTACAACGATGCTTTGTAAGCTTTGTAAGTTTTACTTATTGTCCTGTAGTTTGCGCTCCTTAAAATAATATGGAACCATACCAACTAGACAAGCTGTCGACCTTGCCGCAATATATTTCTCTTCTCGTTCTTCGTCTTCTTCGCGCCTTTTACTTTGGATCTTGGTGTAGTAGTGGCACCAGCTATAAAGTTGCTTGAAGTTCTACAATTTTTAAAGACGATAGTCTTTCTCGGGTACCTTCGACGCAAGTTTTGTGGTCTTTGCGTCTGTACATTTGTCTGTTTGTACATCCTTAACGGAACCTTTAACGGCACTAAAGTGACCAAACAATACTTCAAACAGCCGACCCCATCCGCAGTGCCCACCGATATTGTTCATGGTTCGGCGTTCATACTCCTGAGATTGTCAATTAAAAAGCAATTATTGCGCATTTCTAGGCACCATGGCAACTCGTAAATATTATGTATGTGTATTTTTTACTAGAAAAGGCATACATAAGTAATTTTAAAGATCGTAGCCTTTATAACGCTGCGCTGGCCGTGCAACGCTTGCACGAAAGGGCAAGTGTTTCCAACGCTTTGCTAAGACGACACGGTGGCTGGCACCTACACCTCACCTTGCGTTCTGCACCTTATCACATCAGAGACGGGCGCGCACGGCGCGCGCCCCGTTTTCCTGGATAACTGCCAGATGGCGCTCATGTCTCACGTGTGACGTGACTTGATGCGCCCGTTCGACTCCGCTGCACGCACGAGGCACTCTAAACGCAGCGCGTGCAGAATACCATTCACTGATTTGCTTGCGCAGAACATCAAATAAACGCTTTGTTCACTCTCTCCAGACGGCAGACTATAGTCTTTCGACGACATTTGCAGATTAAATGCAGATACTGGGGCCAATTTTTTTGCTAAATGAAGCCCAATTGTGTCTACACAAATTTCTGCCACCTTAAAGGGGTCGCAACCACTTTCTCATGTAATAGTCTAATGACCTGATATGATCGATTGATTGATATGTAGGGTTTAACGTCCCGAAACCACCATATGATTATGAGAGACGCCGTAGTGGAGGGCTCCAGAAATTTTGACCACCTGGGGTTCTTTAACGTGAACCCAAATCTGAGCACACGGGCCTACAACATTTCCGCCTCCATCGGAAATAGCAGCCGCCGCAGCCGGGATTCGAACCCGCGACCTGCGGGTCAGCAGCCGAGTATCTTAGCCACTAGACCACCACGGCGGGGCAATAGTCTAATGACCTCGGTGTGTGATTTTATTACCTCATCAATGAACTGCTCCTAGAATTTCTCGAATCTGATTAGAGTTAGCAGAGTTACAAGAGTGTGTGGCGTGCTTCAAGCGCTTTTTCTCGACTTTCGTCATGACGAGCGTGCCGGAAACTACACAGCCAGGGATCGCACAGGTAAACGAAGTTATGTCAGCGTGCGTCATCACTTTGCGTGTGCGTGATACAACGCGATCGCTCTCCTCTGTGATTCCTGAACGTTAGTGTGGCTCGCTGCGTAACGTTAGCAAAGTAGGGAGTGTGGCGATGGCACCTGGCGGCACGTCCTGGCATGGCAAGAAGCGCATCTGATCCATACGCCGCTCTTGCTTTATGTCGGCTATTGACCGATAGTATGTTATCTGCTGCTTGACGTCAAACAACAAGCTCCGGCAACTATGGATCGAGTGATAGTGGGCTTATGCGTGGAAAGAGGGTGCCTAAGAAGCCGGCAACTTCGTTCTCCGCTTGTAAGATCACCTTGCCGCGTATACGACAGCAAGATTTGGCTGACGTGTTCATTGCAGTGTATGCTATCCGGCATGATGTGTTCCCACCAAACGCGATCGGTGGTTCATTACCCGTTTAATGGTAGGACTTCATAATAAAGAATGATGCTATTAACAATCAGGAACTGATTGGTGACGGGTGAGTTATTTCACACATGAACGATCTGAAACTCTGCTGACGAACATGATGAACTTACCGTGGCCAGCGCTGGCGCCCTGACCCGTATTGCGGCTCATAGACCGGCGCTGCATCTGGAATTGCTGCTGGTAATTGCGACTGATGTTCCTGCTGAAAGTTCTTGCGTGAGTACCGTCCTTTAGCCTGTACAGGGTCCAATGAAGTGAGATAGAACATGAGGGACAAGCAATATTCAACAACGTAACAAATAATTCATTGGAAAAGAAGACATCACTTAGGGACTTGGTAACTCAAACAACGACGTCTATCTCGACATGCTGGATAACTTAGTAGTGACCTTAAACAGTCAGATACAGCAGTTCAAAAAACGAAGAGTGGTAGCCCATCACCCTTATCCCTGAAAAAATGTGCCCCGCTCGGCGATGTTTTACGACGTCGGGGTCTCCGGAAGTCTGGCTTTTAACGTCAGTCTGGGAAGCACGCCCATCGGCGCAGGCTTTAGTGCATCCGCCTTTGAGGAGGAAATGCGGCTACCTTCTAAAGTTGTACTGGAATATGCTCTACCCTAGCCTAACCAAACCTAACCTAAACTTTGATATGCTCATACTATTAACACGCAATTTTTAACGACAACAAATGAAAGACCTATAAAACTGAAATTTAGTTCAACGTGATAAAGGAAGAATGTAATAACGCCTTTGAACTGACTCTTTGCACGGCCTTGCGATGACAAATGGAGCAGCAGATGTAGCGGTAAGAGAACTTGAAGCTTTGCGCCATGGCGTCGCCGATGTTCGACAGGCACAGCAGCATCAAGGGAATGCCCACGATTGCGTACAGGATGGTCACCACTTTGCCCTGCGGCGTCTTGGGCGCGATGTTGCCGTACCCTGAAACGTTGAGCAAAAACACCGAAGTGTTAACGCGGAAAAGTAGCGGCTTTCGCCACAGTGCGTGAACGAATACTACAATACTACTCGTCGCAAACCTGTTCGCATACCGGTAGAATCGTATAATGTCTTTGATTCAGGGAATAATTACACAACATCCTGAAGTGTTCAGCACTGACGCACATACATCAATTAGGCACTAGAACAAAGATAAACCGGTCGGTGCCCTAGTGGCTATGACATTTCACAGATGAGCTTGAAATTGTGGGCTTGATTACGGGCTCATTTTATTGGGGGGGGGGGGACGAACCGAGGGGATGCTCTTAAGTATTATCTGGAGATTTCCGCTGGCGAATGCTTGTGTAAGCAGACCGTGTTTTCCTTACGTGAAGAGAATAGCAATAATGTTGACAAGAAAACGCTTGCGTTATATATATTCTTAACAGAAAACGTTGTTAACACTGGAGCTGAACATATCAGTTACTAATATATATCAATGGCAAATAGCGCTCTCAAAAAAAAAACGCTTTGTAAATTCAGCCACGAATTCAGAATAAAATTGATCTAAAAAATTTCTTAGAAGAAATACCATACACAGAGTGTAGTGACTAGACCAGTACACACTGGTATTAGGCACATTCTAAAAAAAACGAACATTGTAATATGAAGTACATATGGGAACTGGCGGATAGTGGCACAATATGAGTTCCCTGAACAGGAACAAATGCCTCAGACAGGCTGACTGACGTTTCTACAGGTGACCCTGTCTTTGTCGAACGTGCCTTAAATCTTTGGCTTATCATCCTTGATGCTTACGACGAAGACAGGTCTGTTTGTTGATGTGGTTGTATGAACCCTGTTTACGCCTATTCGACGTCTGTTCAGACGTGGTTCAGACATTGTTCGGCGCCTGCGTTTCTTGTTCCTTCTGTCCGTCTTCAAAAGAACTACTGACCATCTCCCCGAAGGGAACCCCGATGGAATGCGAAGCAGCAGTGGTCCACACGGCGTTGATCCGGTCGAAACGGGTGTCGACGCGGGTGCTGGAATAACGGTTTGGAGCAATACTCGGTGTAGCGTTTACTCGAATAAGCGTTTGTTTGAAACGCAAAAAACTCGGGAGGTGGGACGCGTTGAAGAGGCTTGCGCTCAGCTTCCTTGGCTGGCGTCTTGTCGGTGTTACCCGAGCGCCGTGTGTATCCTCGAATTAGATTGGTGTTCTTGACTCGCACCTCGTAGGTGTGGCTGGTCTTCCACTGCCGACGCTTGCGTTCGGCTTCCCTGACTCGCACCTCGTCGGTGTTGACGCCGCCATTCGCGAACGCGATTGGCTTCGCTAACCCTCGTAATTCCGGCGACAGCAGGAAAGGTACACGCACACTAGCGGGAAGCGTGCCACGACGGCGTCTCGCCTGTCGGCGCGATTGCGTGGCTAACAGCGGTGCGGTGTCCACATTGTCGGCGCCGCGAGATTCTCCCGCCAGCTCACGGCTTCTTCTCGCCGACAGGTGGATAGATGTGGTGAGGGTGTGATGATGCTCACGTGAGAAGTGGGAACAGATTCTTCGCCCAGCCCTCATTGGCTGTCTAAAATTTATCCAGAAGAGATTACACCTAACTGCCGACATTGCAGCTGCGTGAAAGCTACCCAAAATCACATTCTTTGGGAATACGAGGGTAACCCCCCACCAAGAACAATACTGCCAGCTTCCTCCCTTGAGGCGTGGGAGTCGCTCCTATCGTCAGCTGACTACCGTCTTCAGGCAGAAGTGGTTAACTGGGCCGAAACGGTCGTGGCAAGCTTTTGGTCCCCACACTTCAAACCACCGGCAAATTAAGTTCACCGACCTTGCTATGCCATCAATAAAGTTCTTTCTCTCTCTCTCTCTCGAGCGTTGCGAGTGGTGGTAAGGGTGAAGCGAGAGAGAGCTGACACGCAGCCAGCGCGCGGCAGGCGAGGATAGAGAGACGTAACCGCGCATTGCTAGGAGGGCATGAGCTACTTGGCACCACTCCAACACTTGTGGAGAGGGCAGCGGTGCGGACGTAGGGACAGCGTCACACAGGCTAGTCAAAGAGCTGCTTCTCATCTAAAACATGCGCTGTTTTCACCTTACGTTGCATATCACACCGGCGTAGTGCAGCATAGCAGCAAGCTCGGTTAACTGAGTACAGACCTGCGGCCAGGTTGGTTTGAAGTCATAGCGCCGAAAACACGTACAGGGACTAATGAAGAAGACAGGATGTGCGCTACTCACGAATGACCTGTTGTAGTTAGTGCGTGCCCTGTCCTCTTCATTTGTTGCCATGTTTTGAGCTCTATGACTTCATCTGAATCACTTATATTGCCACGTCGCGTTATTTTTTGCGGCAAGTTTAGACCCACAAGAGCGTTGAGAAATAATTGTAACAGAAGGCTACAAAAGCACTGTTTAAATTCCTACGCGACACGGACTTGAACAAGTGGCTGTAACAGCAATGCCACACACAACGAAAGACAAGACTGGACTATGACTGAGTGTGCGCACGTGTGCTGCTTAATGCGCTGTGTTTATATCTCTTCCTTCTCTCTTCTCCATCTTACATCTCCCTCATCCCCCTCCCATGCGCAGGGTAGCGAACCGGCTGCCTATAGTCTGATTAACCTCCCTGCCGTTCTTTTCCTCCTATTTTTCTCTTCTTCTTCGGCGCCCGTTGCGCCTCACTGTTTTCGAGAAGCTTACGTTCGTGATTCTGTTTACGGACCACCAGGGAGACGCCGTCTCGTGTGGATGTTAGGGAGCCTTCATGTGCGCGCATCTCCGTGTTTTAGGGTGGTGACAACTCCGATCATGGTTGCTTACAACTGGCAAAAACAGCCCCCATACTTGACGGGCCGCCATGTTGGTTCTGAGTGGTCGCTCATTTACATTGACGGCAGCGTGGGTTTCAACGAGAAGGTTTTTTTATAGCAAGTGCTGAAGGCTGAAGGGTTGTTTTCTGAAGTTAGCCGTGGTTTGGTAGAACAGGAAAGACATGTTCGTGACTCGAGTTTGTATAAAATACTGTTAAAACAGTTCGTTTCTCCCACTTGGTAGACCCACCACAATGGCGGAGTTAGGTTATTTAGGGAGCCTATATTTGCGAGGGGGAGAACCTCGATGTCACTATGAATGGACTTCAATGTCTGTGCGCCATTCATGAAGCATATTCACCTTAGCACTGCAAATACCTCAAAGGCCTCTTGGTGCAAGGCTCGAAACCGTGCTGTTTATATGATGGAACTCATAACGACCGGGAAGGCAGAACAAACAACCGGGTAGCTCGCGATGTTCTCTGTTAACCGAATAGCTCAGCTAGCCTGTTTCTCATACCCCAAACATTGCGTTTCTCCGTAATATAATTTCCTACAGCAAGTTTAGTTCCTGTGAATGAATCTGTACAATGACTGCTTAAAAACCTTACAAGCTGTAAGCATTGCCCGAAAAAGTAGGGCATTCAATCACATTACACCGCCCTCCCCTTATGCCCACAATCCTGTATATTAGGCTAGAAGAAAAGCAAAGGGGAGCAATGAGGGACAAATCAAGTTTTTCCAGGTCAGACTTTATAGCAAACAGCATCCAAAAGGCGTCTGGCCTTGTGTCTTCAAACCATCCTGCCTCCTTTGCTGGAAGCTTGTGTCCTTGCAGTGGGCCTAGAGTAAAGCAATAAGACAAAAAATCATACACGGCTCCGACCACATATACGGAGTCCATACACACTTTCTCTACAAGCACTAAATAAAAGCGGAGTTTACGATATCAAATCATCTGTGTGTCTGCTTATGAAACAAAAGGACCACACAAATAACGATGCACCACGTAGGGCATATTTGAGTTATGGGCTGACCACAGACTTGCTTAGTGCACATATACTGCTCCGTTCAGGACCGACAGATAGACAGACGGATGGACGGACACGAACAATAAATCTGCCGCCTTCTATGTTATTAAAGAGAAGTCCTGTTTGCAATTATTGAGCGAGTTTCGGTGTGGTTGAGCGTGTCATTGAAGCGAAGAACGAATACCCCATGGCAAGCCACGCAATAAATTAGTTGCGTTGCAACTGTGCAAGACAAGTGCCTACAGGGAACGCGTTCATCGGCTCGTCTGTCTACCTCTCCAAATGCCCTTCCTCAGCAACCGAGGTAAAATTGCAGGAATGCGAACATCTGCCAGAAAAGGAAGAAGCGAATGGTAGCGTCTGTAGGTGGTTTACGGGCCTGGCGTTTTCCGCGACGAATGCAGTGATGGCTTTGGAAACTGACCAAGTGCCGACAGTGAATGCATGCAGGACCACACATTCGACTAGTCATATCATTAGATTGAGGAACTGCGCTGCGACTACAAGGATAAACAAGCATACTCAACGATCTTCCGCTTCCACAGCGTAACCGAACGAAGCCTAATTCATTATTATACTGTGCACGTTGTCGTGCTTACTTTGCTCAAACTGCTTTTCGCTGCATGGCTAAGTCAGCCATTTCACGAAATGTGCGGTGTTATACTCAACCCACTCGCAATACAACGGGTACTCACCTCACAAACACGGCGAGAAGTAGTCGCCTCCAAGCAGTCTCACTTCACTTGTGTAGCCCAGCGTTTCCGTTAGCTAGAACAAGTCGGGAAGCGGGAAGGTCTCCAGATGGTTTTGCATTATGGCACGCAGCACCCTGGCAAATAGACTTCAAAGTTATTTTATGTGTGGTTAGCGCAAGGATGGTGTCGTAGCGGAAGCTAAGTCTATGGGGTAATCAAATGCAGCTTGCACACCCGCGCCAACATGCAGCTGGTGCAGTGCGACGGAGCAGGAACGCCTGGCCACAAGAACCAACATGGCGCCTGTTGCCACGGAAACCGGGACTGGCATCATTGTGTTTTAGCGGGTGGCGGCAAGTGGTGGGTCAAAGGCGGACACCACCCTAAAACACGGAGACGCGCGCACATGAAGGCTCCCCAGTGGATGTGAAAACATCGGCT